AGATGGGCGATTGCGGGGGGGTGGGGTGTCTCCCCCCACCGGGGAAGGGAAGGGCAGCTCACCAAAGTCGCTGGCGCAGAAGTTGGACTGCAGGGTCCCCGTCCGTTTGCAGCGTTGCGGGCAGGTGGTCTCACCTGGGAGGGGGAGCGGAAAGCAAAGGTCCCTGGCACAGCTTCCCTCTGCGCGTGTTCCGGTTCCTCTTCCAGGCCCGGCTTCGGCGCCAGCCCACCTCCCTTGCTCCCAGCTTGGCCCTCGACCTCTTGGTTCTCCGGGGGGATTCTTACCTGCAGGGGGTTCTGTGGGGCCTACGGTATCGGGACGAGCTCGGGCTGTCGGTTTGGGGCGCGGAGCCGGCTTGGGTCGGCCTGCGGGTTTGCTGGGGGGGTCGGCCTTAGCGGGGGGCGCAGGCTTCCCGCTGCTCTGCGTGGGTTTGGAGCCGGGGAACACCGGGATGACCGGCTGGGCCTTGGTGGCGCTTTCCGGCTCGTCGCGGCTTTTCATCACGTACGAAGCCGAGAACCCGTCGGCCGTGACGCTGAGATCCGAGACGAACTGGACCAGAAGCTCGTTGCCATCCGAGCGGATGGAGCTGCGGGAGGAGGGAGAAGAAGGGTGTGAGGGTGGGGAGGAAAGGTGGGGAGGAAAGGCAGGGAAGAAGCCCCCAGGTGCCCGGCCCACCTGAGGCCTTTTGGGGGAGAGGGGAGAAGCCAAGATAACGGCTCTCCCTCGGCTGGCGGGAAAACCGGACGATCGCCGAACCTGTAGTGAGCGGACCGACGGAGCCACCAATACGTGGGGGGGGGAGGGAGTGTGGGTGAGCGAACCGGCCTTACCTGGGCGACTTGTCGCCACAGAACTTGCCCGCGCGGCGCGAGTCGTCTTGCTCCCTGCCGTTGAAGACGGCCACGTAGTCGTAGCGGCAGTAGGTGTCGAACTCCACGTCAAACTTGCCAAAAGTCAGGACGATGATCTAGGCCGGGGTGGGGTGGGTGGGTGGGAAGAGGAGCGAGTCGAAAAGGAGGAGGGTTTTAGCCACCCGATATTGGGGACCAGGACAGGGAGGGCT